ATTCTCAAACTGCGTCGTTTTTTACTTTTTCACTTTTCACCGGAACTCTCTATTATTATTATTATTATTATTTTTTTAAAATTAGTTTTTAAATATTAATGAATTAATAAAAAGGATTATAAAAATAAAAATCAATTAAATAATTTTTATTTTTATTTTATTTTATTATATAATAAAATCAATAAAACACAAAAAAATGAGACTATGAACATAACACATCATCAAAAAAGATACACAATCTATAAAAGATATGACTCTCCATAATGATGAGATTGTTGATCACATTTGGCTTATTAAATTAAGAACCTCTATGTTAATATGCCGATGAACATGGAAATCTCTATGTTTCTATTTCCCATTTTGAAGCCATCAAATTGATTCCAAGACAATCATGCATTCTGAAGGTCAAACATTATCACATAAATGTGAAAAGTGTCTTCCACAATAGGATGACAAGAGATTTTGTTCAATAACTACTGAGTGAGTATGAGTTAAGCATGGTAAATAGAAGGAAAAAGTCAGTGATTCCCAAAGCTTACTTGTTGAAATGAGTGACACACAACTCTTGTGGAGTAACCAAGTGCTTAAAGATGGTAAAAAAAAAGATATCTACCAGGATGTGCCAGAAATATTGAGTGACATAGTGGAAACTGAGTTCCGAACTTAGAATAAGGATGAGCAAGCTATCATTGGTAAACGTAAATAAACTAGAATGCTTAAATCAGTGACAAATGCGGAAGAAAATGCTTTGGACATAGTGTTCATCATACATAAAATGGTGGGCAGCAAAGAGATTCTCACAATCAAAGTTTCCTTCTATTATGAGGGAGTATGATGAAGAGGAATTGTTTGTGTCGCAAGAGGATGGGCCTTGAAAGGAAGCTGTCAAAATAAGTTTTGACATTTGAAGAAGTTGTTCAACTATTGGAGGAAGTTTGTGTGACAGACAAGAAAAACCTCATGATAAGTTACACGGTTGATAATAATCATGTATGTGATAAGAAGAATACATCTGATGGATGCTTCCTTCTTGTTAACACCGTAATATCTTGGGTCAGCAAGGAGCAATACAGTGTGATCTTATCTCCTGATAAAGTTGAATACATTGCTGCAAGGAGAAGTAGTGGTTCGCAATTACTCTGGATGAAGCAAATGTTGAAGGAGTATAACTTGGGACAAGATGTCATGACGTTGGTCTGAGACATTTTCACTAAATTTTTGGATGTAAATCATTTTGAATAATTAAAGTGTGCCCTTGATATTTACATCTGGGAGGGTCTATATCCATCATTGCTAGGGAGTTGTGCCAAAAGAGAAAAAATATTTATCTCCCCTAAGACCACTTTGGAACAAAAAATAAGGCGTATTCTTGTTTTATCTCAAGTGTGGTATAATTGGGTTGTCGTTACAAGCAAAAAAAAGAACATCGTGCCTTATCCTGCTCTCAGATTACATACCTCTCTCTAATCCTTCAAGTTCATTCTCACAAAATGAATCACTCTTCTGATGAATCGTCCAACAATCAAGTAAAAGCTTACCCGTCAAAGAAATTGTGGTTCCTAAGGATGTTGGTGATATGTTGGAGTTTTGGTTAAATAAGGTCAGGGAAGTTGGCTATGTTAGGGAAAACATCACCATTGTTGAACCTTCTAGTGTAACATCTGGCACGAAGAAGATATTGATAAAAAATTGGAATCCTAAGAAGATGCAAAAGATATAATCTGATATGGCAGAGCTAATGAAAACAAGTGATTCTGAGTCAAATAAAGACTGAGATACCGTTATAGATTCAGTTAGGCATGAAGTCTAAAGGCTTCTTTGTTAAAGCCTTAAAGGGAGCTTCAAATCATGGTTGTTGAAGGGGAAATTATATTTAAGTTCAGTTTATTGGATCTTGTATCTGGGCATGGTTTTTTTGTTCTGGATATGTAAAGGCTCCATAGCCTCTTAAGATTATATACATTAACTGATTTAATGCTTGTGCGTCTCTTGATGTTGACCTGATTGTTCTACTTAGGATCTGGTTGTGTATGTGCTAACATACTAACCTATGCATGACTGACCTCTAGTTTCTATGTTGAAGTGCTGACTTTTTGAAAAATTATGGCAAAAATGGGGAGTAATGGTGTAGTTTGATCTATGTTAGTTAGTGTGACTAAATAATTGGTAATAGGTAATTGTTTATTACTGACTATCTGATAAGTACTAATGATGTGCTTACACGTTGGAGCATCAGGCAAGACATCTGTCTCTTTTGGAGCGAGCTTTTGTGTTAGTAGTATTATGTATATTTTGATACTAACTACTAACTGTTTGTGGTACACATGACTAAGTATGTGAATGACTGGATGTTAATAATTGTTAGTTGGTAGGATTGTATGCTACTAACTTTATACTGACTGAGTGCCATGCATGACTATGATTGCATGACTGGCTGGTTGGCTATGAAGCATTGTTATTTTGTGGCATATGTTCGAATTCTACTGATTTTCTGTTGTTGTGATATAACTATGATGAATGTTGTTGTTGTTCATGATAGTGCATGTTCTGATAGACTTCTGTTGTATGTTACTTATTCTGATTGAATGAGTGTTATGTACATTGAAGAGTTGTTTTGCCACATTTTCCAAAGGGGGAGACTGTTGTTCCTTTTTTAGATTGACTATATTATGCAAAACAACAACATGAAGAAGTTTTCAAGTGTTCAATATTGCTCTAGCTTGGTTAAGCTGTTTCTATGGTGCAAAATGGACACATGTTGAACATGATGTCACAACATGTAGGTACGACATTTGGGTCTTGCTCAACATGCCAAAATGTTGTGTTTTTGGAAGTATTTTCTGTTGAAGATTCAAATATATTTTATTGTTTATTTAGAAATATGATTATATGATTTGCTGGACAATTGTGAAGATCAAATCAGGTTTAAGTGAAGATTTAAATTTGGATTTGAAACAAACCAAATTATATATTTTTGTTGGAGATATTTGTGGAACAAATCATATCCAACTGACTGTGCTATTTCTGGATGAAATCAAATCAAACATCCAAGGATAAGTTATCAAAATAATTATGCTATTTAAGGAGCTCAAACCTACATTGGAAAGTAAGCAATACATTAGAGATCTTTAAAGTGTTAGGATTTATTTGAGTCCTTGTTATTGTTGTTTGTACACCATACTATGTTTCAGTAATTTGGCATAGTTGTAGGTTTGTCTAATTGTGTTGTAATTGAGCATTCGATATTTATAAGTGAAGTTGATCACTAGGGTTTAGTGATTGAGAGAAAGTGAGAGGGGTTCTCATATTTAGGGAGGGACCTAAATAGAAATTCACTGGGTAGTGTTAGGAAGAGACATTGAATAACACATACTTGTTGTTCGTATAAGATTAAGTGTACTAAACTACTAATAATGTATTTTATTTCTTGGGTTGGAAGTCAACCCGCCAGATGTAGGTGCAGTTGTATTGAACTGGGTTACCAATTATTGTGTTCTTTATTGCTTTTATGCTCCATCATCTTGTACAAGTTAGACTATGTTAATTATGGTGTTTCTGATTTAACCCATAAAACTAGTTGTCCAGGAAATCACGTTAAACATTTATCCCCCGAGGAACAAAATTTCACTTTCGATTATTTTTCTTTTCAAATTTACAAGTATGTTTTTGGGCTAAACCATGTTCATTGTCATCTCACAAACAAGTTTATTCTATTCAATATATCAATGATAAACAATTGGATGACCAACTAACTTGTGACTCAGTCTATGACTATGTAGACCATAAATCATACTAAATTTCCAAGTATTATTTGCCTTGTGGTAACCGTGCAACTTAAAAGGACATCTACATTTCCTTGCTTCAGTGTCATCACATTTCAACTTTCAGATATGTTATTTATACTAACCACTTCTTTCGCATGTCAACATAGAAAATTCATGTATCCTGTCATAATAAGAACTCGACCTCCTGATACCTATCCTAAGACCTTATTTACAGCTTCCATATAGACCCATTGAAGCATATGTTCACGTAATATAAATTCATATTTGATGATAAACTATTTTCCAACATCATCGTGTACAACACTTGGGTATGGATCTTTTGAAACTCCATCTTGTCATACATTAACTTTGTTGACAACGTCTAGGTGCACCATATCTATAATTAATGAAAAATAAAAAATTTCAATAGCCCATTAACAGAATCAGATTTCACTCTCTCGAGGTTTTTGAATATCAATTTCTAGACTATATTCACGATGAAGAAAAAATAGATTTATTCAATGATCATCAATGATAAACATGTACATTATCAGTAATTTCAAATGACTATAATATTTATAATATCAAAATATAATTGAAGTGTCTTTGCAAATGAAATTAATGAATATGATTGGGAAAATCTTAAGAGGGTTTGAGGAAAAATGATATATGATTATGAATGAAGGGGTTTAAGGAATTGTTATGCGGAAAGTGTAACTGTCTGAATTTCAATCTATGAACATGCTAAATAAATTCTCAAAATATCATTTTAAATAGGGGAAAATTGTGTGATGTGTTTAGATATTAATTATGTTTTTGAGTGAACTAGTCTATTGTAATTTGTAATGCGTCTAAATTTTAATCTCCAGACGAAGCTAAAGGGGTATTTTCGAAAATTTATATTGTTTGTTTGAAAAATTAAGGATGTAATGAGCAATCTCAAAAAAAAAATTGGTGAACCAAGAACAACATTTAAGAAGTGTTACCTATAAAGTCTTTTCTCTTCATCAACACCTATGTTAAGAGGTTGTATTTATCATATATCTCAATTTATTTAAGAGTCCATTTCATAGTTTTCTGAACAATAATTCTTAAAAATAAAAATCTAAAATGATTTATATAATACGAATAAAGTCCTCACTGTGATAAGAGAAATCATAACCATAAAGGATATTGTAAGATTCATTTATTCTTGAAAACAGTTCCTTCAAGCAATATCAATAATGTAATTTAGATTTAGTTGTGTAAAAGAGGATCTTCCAAATCAGTTTTACAATTTATTTTTTCACAATATTCATTGTCAAATTTTTTCTCTTTCTTATCTTTGACATCAACTACATCTTCAGCTTTACCCCAAAGCACAATATACAAACCAACTATCACTCCAATTGCACCTATCAAGCTGACATACATAAAGCACAATAATACTTTAAATAGAATAATAATATTTGTTGAAATCACCTTTAATTCAATTTGTGTTTAGAATCCTCATTAATTTTTAGTACCTTCCAATGTATATTTCTTCATGAAGCCACAAGGTAGCCAATATAGTTACAATCAATGTTAAGAGAGGACTGAACATTGCAGAGAAGAAAGGTCCTCTCCTAGAAATGCACCATGCTTGGAGATAAAATGTTACTGCTGATCCCATGACTCCCTACAAAATGCATTTATTGCTAATAAAGTCAATTATGGATATACATTTATATAAACAAATATTGTTGTATCACCATGAAAAATCATCCACATACTGAATACAAAACACAACCAAATTGAAGTAGAAAAGTAATCTTCCATGCATTAAGGTCTGACTCCATAAATAATGCCACTAGTGATGATTGTAATGTTGCCATTAAACACATCCAAACCGAAAGTGATAAGAAATTTGGATGACTTGCATAAGCTGGAACCTATGAAATGTACAAGGCGTAAGGTTTCATGATATATATGAAAAAGATATACATATAAATATATATGAAGTTATAATATGATATATGTATATAAATATTTATTAGATTTTCATATATTAATTTTTAATACAATCTTTCAAAACCAACTTATAAAGTGCATACCACTTATAAATATTTTCATGCAATATCATTTCAAATGTAAGACTCTTAAAACACACACTCTCAGGACTGTATATTTTGAAAGTGACCTCTTAACAATGACCAGATAGTACGTAGTTAAATAGATTTTGGATAGACTCTAATAACTTAACTTTACACATAGATTTGTAAGATCATGAATGCCATTTTTTTTTGGACTCTCTATTTAAACTACATGAGAGTTTGTTTTTCTAACTATTGTTTGATTGATTTAAGTTTAACTTTGTTTAGATTTTAGTTTATCTAGTAACTAATTATGTTATTTAGTTATAGTTTATTGAAGTTATTATAAGTTTGTTACAACTCAACTTAGCTCATACACTTCTCCGATATGTAGCAAAGTTTACTTAATGAATATATTATTTTTTGAATAATGAATAAGTGACTCATTCTCAAACCTTAATATGGTATAAATCACCGATAGTCCTCTCCCTTTTGCTTCTTAATCCAAAATTTCTCTTCATCCTTATATAGGTTCTCCAATAAGCTCCAACATTGGTGAAAATTGATGAATCCTCACCAACTTCAAATGACCTGGTGTCTTCCTCTCAAGTTACAAATTCTCCATTTGAAAGCTAATCTTCTACGCATTCGTTGGGTTCGAAGCTTTCAATCAAACTATAATATATGGAATCAACAAGTTGAAGGTGTCTTCCTTACACGCAAATTGTACAAATATTTAGTGAATCTAAAAATTCCTCCAATGTACAAAACGTAAATTAATCATCACAATGATGCAATCTTTGAAAAATATGAATCTTGGATCTTTCAAGATTAATTCTTATTCATATGGGTCATATCAACAATTTTTAAATCAATGATACCTAGGGTTCTGGCTTGCAAGTGCCCACATGAAATTGATACAAAATCCACAAAAACTTCAATGTGATTATGGATGCTTAAGTTTGTCAATTATGCACGAAACTCAAATCTACAAAGAAGTTAAATCACTTACCTATTGAGTACGCTCTTCAAATCAAATCCATTATTGATTCACTACTGTAATACAATGGGAGAACTGACTTGGTGTTTTACGTTTGATCGCAAATGTTGCGGATAGCAAGAGTTGCTACCGACTTTTCTTTTATCCAATGAAGGAAAGAGTGAAAAGAACAGGAAAAACCTTTTGAGATTTTTTTCTTGAGTTCAGGGGGTAGGTTATGAAAAGGGAAGGTGTTAGCATCCTTTTCATCCGTAGTTATCTACGAGGTCTTAATTTCTAGCTCACTTTGAAATGCTTTGTGTTTGTGTATGTTTGAAAAGGTTTGAAGATGTTTTGAAAAGATGGTAATTTTGTAATGATTCTCGTATCGTTGATAATGTATAAAAAATGTTTGTTTTTGGAAATATTTTAAAAATGCCTTGATGCGGCAAACTTTGTAATGATTCTCGTATCGTTGAGAATGCATATAAAGTGTTTGTTTTGAAAATATTTGTTTGAAAGGAGAGTGTTTGAAAATATGTTTGTTTTTGAAAGTGTGAGGTGTGAAAATGGTTTTAGTTTGTGAGCAAGAAATTACGAGCAATCTACCTACTCAAAAAAGTCTTTGTTCTTTTCCTCCTCCTTTAAATAGTGCTATCTTACCATTGGTTGGTAGGGAGACATATCATTTGATGTGAGGGACAGGCGCGGGTCATCGTACAATCATAGAAGGTAACTTGTAGACGCTTTAGCAATTTTGGTAAGGGACTAAGATCGTTTTACCGAAGGCAACACCTAAGGGTCATTGAGGGACTACAGTCTTTTTTAATTGAGGGTCTTTGCTAAAGTATCCCATATTCGAGGGACATGATTGTTTTATTCGAAGGCAACAAGTGAGGTTATCCTAGAGGTGCGCGTGTAAAAAGTGATTTGTTTTCAGTTAAATCATTTTGATTAGGGTTATCTAGCGGTTGATTTTAAATCTCGCCATACAATCATATTAAACTAGCAGTAATAAGGAAAACAGTAAAGGCAAAAATTAAATGTCGAACGCTATTACAACCATATGGGAATGAGGGTATAAATTTATGAATGAGGATCAGTTGAATTGAAAGTTCGATTAAAAATCTAAATAAACAATCAATACAACCCAATCGAATTAATTTAAATAACTAATTAAATTAAATAATTTATTTAATAAAATAAATTAATTAATTAATTAATAATATTAAATATAATTTCTCAATCTAATTATTTATTTAAAACAAATGTATTTTGTAAATAAAATCAATTAACAAAATTAATTAACAATACAAATTAACAAGAATAAAACTAAAACAATTAAAGGAACTAAAATAATTAACAAACTACTTAGTATTAACAAAATAAACAAATAAAGAAACTGTAAAAAGGAGGGTATGATATGGAATTTCAGAATGGCGGTGTGGTTGGCTGGTGGGCTAAAATTTGGGTGAAAATCAGATTAAAGCCCAATACAATTTTTGCTGAAATAACAAAATAAATAAAATGAGAGTGTAGGCGGATTGGGCTTGAAGGAGGTGTAACTCGGATTGGGCTTAAGGGCTAGAGCCCATATGTTGTGTCAACTAAACTAACAAAAATAAGTAAATAAAAATGAAACTGATAGGCTGGACCGGGTCGGGTCCGGACCCAATCCTGTTCTTAAACCCAAACGGGTTATCAAAACCCTAAAAACAAAACAGACTCAATCAACCATAAGGGAGTAAAGAAACGCAGGAATTCCCTCTCTTCTCTCAAACAGAAAATCATGTTTGTCGTACCCTAAAATTTTCCCTCCTATTTTACTCAACATATGTTCATTGAGACCCTCAATTTGCTCAAGGATGCCCAAGAATTGACCATACAAACTCTCTCCTAAAAGTAATGAGCCTCCAACTAGGGTTCCTATTTTCATCAAGATGGTTGAGCTTCAAAGGCCTCATATGCTCTCCATAGTCCTAATATGTTCTCAATACCATTCATTCCAAGTTTCATGCGTTGCACAAGAAGTTTGTCCAGTCAATTGCTCAGATGTTTGAAAATCAACTATATTAGGTCAAAAGTCAACTGGGGCCCACATACAGTCAAACGTTAAGATTTTTGGTCAACATCAATATTTTAAAGTGATATCCATCATTTGATCAAGGGTTGATCATGATTCCTCAAGGAAGGCTCCTAATTCATCAAAACTCAAAGGTTGCTAAATTAGGGTTTCGTAGAAAAAAGTCAACCAAACTTTGACCAAGCATAACTTTTTCACACTTTATACGAAATTTCTCATCCAAGGCTTATTTTGAAGAGAATTTAGTTCCCTACAACTCATATTCAGTTCTCAAGTCCAAGAAATGCACTCATGGAAGGATATGAATTCAGACATTATAGGTCATTCCAAAAAGTCAACAAAAACACCTTTTGGGTCAAAGCTCCTTACATGAACATGGAAGATCCAATTGAGATGAAACCAAAGAGGTTGCTTATGGTAAATCCTAAGCTTTCTAAAAAGTCTAAGAACACCCTCTTAGAGTCAAAATTGAGAGAGATATGCATTATCAAAGTTGGCTATTTTTGGAAATTTGCCCAAAGTCAACAATGCCCAAAATTGCATTTTTTCCACATGGGCCCATTTTTTAAAGATTGAATCTCAGTCCTAGCATGGTCCACGACCTATGGGACCCTTCATGCCTTTTTATTTTTGTTTATTTAATTTATGTTGATTTTTATTCATTTAAAATAAAATAAATCCAAATAAAATCAAATTAAATCAAATTTGTGAAATATGATTTGTTTTGCATTGAATTATAGATCTCATACGCTGGCAATGATGAAACAAATCGTGCAAGCTCTAAAAAGAAGAGAAAGTATCCAATTTTAGAAAGATTTGAATCAAAACTTCAAGGCCATCAATCTTTTGATTCTTTCCAATTTTTATTGACCTAATTGGATTCGTTATTTATAGAGAAGCTTTGTGAACCCTAAAAGAGAGAACACACGTGCAACTTGCCTCCCTAGAGCAAAAACAAAACTCAAATTTTTGTCAAAAAAGAGGAGGTCAGATTTTTGTCCATAAGGAGATTCAAAGCATCCTGAGACTTACAATCGATTGTTGTAGATACTCTGAAGCCAATTGGATCATTCCCACGCGTTAAAGCACCCTGAAACGCCCCCTACAGAACCACAGTTTGGCTTTAATTTTTTAATTTGATTTGAACATATGCGCATGATAAATGAATTCTAACTACACATTCATGTTTGTCTAGTCATTTAGAATATATTAGCATAATTAATTGTTTGTTTTGGTACATATACGAGTAATTGCCATTATTAGGGTTCAGAGCTTCGTTTTAGAGTTTCTTGTTACAGGTTAAATTAGGCCCAATCAAGGGTCAATTCATGTTCAGGAAATCACGAGCGATTGATCCATGGCCTTATCTGAGATTTATATTGCCTGTACTAAATTTTTGCAAATGCAAGGGTTATATCTATAGAAGTTGTCTGTAGGTAAAAGCCTTGTACCTAAAACGACAGTTCTGTGAAGAAGACGACTAGGTGGCAGCCTATCACTGGCCAGTTTGAATCTGGCGCGCGTTTTTAATTTCCAAGTATTAATCTTATTTTTTTTACATATAATATTATTGTTTTGTCATTTATACAACTAAACTTGGTAGCGCAGATGGCCAAGGCGTGGGTACGTGAAGCCAAAGACCTGGGTTCGATCCCAGGCGTGCATATTTTGTTATTTTCTTAACTTTCTATGCAGGATTCAGCGTATCTCATGTTTAGAGGTCAACCATGCGCCCTCAAA